GATAGGATGAGCAAAAATGAAATGAATCTTCCGCTGCCACTTTTTTACACACACACACACACACACACACATTCCATCGATAGGATGAGCAAAAACGGAATGAATCTTCCGGTGAAACATGGAAATATACACAGCCACTTTTTGAGCAAAATCGGAATGAATCGTTCGCGTGTGTGTGTGTGTGTGTGTGTGTGTGTGTGTGTGTGTGTGTGTGAGAGAGAGAGAGAGAGAAAACGGAATAAATCTTCCGGTGAAGCGTGGAAATATACACCGCCACTTTTTGAGCAAAATCGGAATGAATTGTTCGTGTGTGCGTGTGTGTGTGTGTGTGTGAGAGAGAGAGAGAGGAATGAATCGTTCGTGTGTGTGTGTGTGTGTGTGTGTGTGTGTGTGTGTGTGTGTGAGAGAGAGAGAGAGAGGGAGACAGAGAGAGAGAGAGAGACGATAACTCTCCGACCTCGCGGCCGCCCTTCGCCTGGACCTGCTCGCTTTCGAATTCGTGCTGCCAGCGCGCTTCGGCCTGCTTACCCGGTTCCCGCCCCTTCGCCTCTGCGTGCACACCCCGCTTTGCCCCGCTGGCCTGCTTACCCGGTTCCCGCCAGCGTGCAAAAAAATTTCGTCGTCGCCCCTCCGCCGCTTCGCCTGGGCCTGCGCACCTTCGAATTCCCGCTGGCCTGTTCCGCCCCTTTGCGCCCACGCGTTCGCCCCTGCGCCGGTTCGCCTCTGTCGGCCTCAACCCCGCGGCCCCCCGCCTACGGTTTGTGTCCCAAACGGTTTCCCTTGGGCCTGCGACCGACCATGTTGCGAGACCCTTTGTTTGCTTTAGTATGTATAGAGAAGAGAAGAGAAGGAGAGATACATGATGAAACTTCCGGTTCAGGTGGAGCTATTCCAACCTTTTTGGGAATGCCCACAATCAGGTGTCACACAACCGTCTTCACCCGCATACAATGCACGGCCATTATTGCTGTATTCGGGGTACCTTTCAGTCTAAAATTCTCTAAGTACAGCAATAATGACCGTACGCAGGAACAATCTTTGAGTGAAATTCTGTGCGAAAAATCTTTCACAGAATGTCCAACCAATGCTATCAAGTAGGCCAATTGCTCAAAACTGCATTTTGACCTCGCCAATGATGGAGGCAAGATGAGGGGAGATGACATTGGTTCTAGCTTGTCTTCTTCCTCTTGTTCTTCTTCTTCTTCTGCTGCTGCTGCTGCTGCTTCTGCTGCTTCTTCCTCCTCCTCCTCGTCCTCTTCTTCTTCTTCTTCTTCTTCTTCTTCTTCTTCTTCTTCTTCTTCTTCCCTCCATTTCCTCTTTCCTCTCTCTCTCTCTCTCTCTCTCTCTCTCTCTCTCTCTCTCTCTCTCTT